AAGACCCAATTACTCCAAAGACTAATTGGAAGTCCGAAGTCGAAAAGTAACCTCATGAACTTCTTAGTGAACCAACGCCACAAGAAGGATATACTCTTTCCCTATAACTTCAAGTGAGTGTTAATCATGTCGATCATATCCTTAATGGCTCATATGTTGATTCTAGTTAATTAATGAGTGTTATGCGTTATATCCTATAAACACATGCAGCAATCATCTTTGGATATTGATGGACATCGATCCGGTGAAAAGTCACTTGATAATCTATGACTCGATGAGAAAACCACAACAAGACTACCAAGATATGATAGATATTATCCAGAGGTAATTTGGGATCTCTAGCAACTATATATACACACAAACATGATGATTAACTATATCCGATGATGTGGCAAATTTTTTATTGGGCGGTGTTTGGAAAACCTTTATTGAGAAGCAACACATGGAAAAATGCAAAGCGCCCATGAATGTAATCCCTTTGAAAGTAAGTCCCTGAATCGCATCATCTTTATTAATTAAACATATAGCTTTCACCGGATCACCAGATTGGATGACAAATCTTTTTCTCGTAAAGTGGTGTCTAAGGCGAGAACAGAGGGAACAACTATCGTGTGGTTACTATGTTTGTAAGTTTATCAAGGTGCTCTCCCAAAGAACTCCTCTGAGAGAGACTCAAAATACGTTAAAAATACACTATATATTCATTTAATTATTATTATTGATTGTGTTACTATGTCTTTATATATATATATATGTACATGTATTAATTTATTTTCCTTTAATTCAAAACCTGTAGACTCGATGGTTGGAGAAAAAGGTCATACTGGCAAGACCAAATCAAAGCAATTCAAGAGTCTATAGCGGATTTTTTAATGAGCAGGTCATCGATTCCAAGGCGAGTTCTACTTGACCCAACACGCCATTGAAGCCAAGCTAGAGGATGAGAGGAAACTTGTTATGTCACAACAAGCTGTAATGCAATCTTTTGTAATATATGCACATGAAATAATATAATGTAAAATACACATATGCATGCATGCATTTAATATATATATGATGCATGCATTCATATATATATATATATATATATATATATATATTTCTATGCTTGAATTGTGTGATTTAAAACGTTCATTGTGCTTGAACCGAAACATACTATATGCGCGTATAAATGTATAATTAGCAGCGTACAATACGACTTCAAAAACCTATTTTGAAAAGAAAACAAAAAAATGAAAAGAAAAGAAAAAAGAAAAAAAACCTTTAGTCCCGGTTCGTATTACCAACCGGGACTAAAGGTGCCGGCCATCGTGGCATGTCAGGAGACACCTTTAGTCCCGGTTGGTGTTACCCACCGGGACTAAAGGTCCTCCTTTAGTCCCGGTTCCTGACCCGGGACTAAAGGACCCCCCTTTAGTCCCGGATGCTTGCTTCCGTGTGGGGAACCGGGACTAGAGGGGGTTCTCCACCGGGAGTAAAGCTCGGTTCTTTACCAGTGTACTGTTACTTTGCCAAAAATGACAAAGTATTCAGCTAATGGACTGTTAGGTGATACACACGGATAGTCCCTGTGAGCTGCGCAGGGACAATTTACCTGTGTTGGGTGGGGTTTGCTCTGGCAGACTGTCCAACCGTAATGGCAGATTGTCCATCAGTGCACCTTAAGCACTCTGAAATCCAAATCTGGGAGTGCCAATTACAGATCAAGTTGGGGGTTTGGTACTGAGGTTTGTCTAGGATGTTCCTAAGATCCTTCGGAGCTAATCTAGCAAGTTGCATTGTGAAGTCCATGCCTAGTTGAAGCTCTATGTCATCAATGGTGTTTTTACTACGTGAGAGCTACATTGGTTCTAGACTACATGGATGATTGGGGTGAGATTTGTCTACCTTATGCCAAGATGTGGCTATGGAGATGAATCTTGATGGATGGCTTGACTCCTCCCTCTTGCTTCATCACCAATGCAAAGGGGATGAGAGGACAACTTGATCACCCCTAGCAATGGTGATGGACAAAGGGTGGTGCTACAACTTGGGGCGCCTTCCAATGTTTTAATATGAGAGAGGGGGGGGGAGAGAGGAGGGGAGCTTGGGAGAGTGGGTTGTATATGCGAACCGAAAGGAAGTGGAACTTGATTTTGGCTACATGTTCCGGCGGACCATCCAATAGAACACAACTCTGACAGATTCTGACAAACTTGGCACTGCTTATGTTGGAGGACTATCTGGGGCAACTATTCGACGGTCCACCACTCACAACAGTGCTAGATTTAATATCATTTGACCTAGAATTTTTGCAATTAGGTTTCATTTTTCATGGATGCAATGCTGGCGATGAACATGGTTTGAAAGTATGCAATGCTTGGATTGTTACATATATACCTTGGTAGCCATCAGTTGCATGTGGCATGAGTGCCACGCAGGTGAGATCAAGTGGAACCATCCTAATTGACCAATGTTAGCCGAGGCACATGCACTTGGCTAGCCCTGTCGCGACGGTAGCCACAGATGCGCCGCACCTAGATTCGTAGGCCTTGACTGTCATCACCATTACTATCGTTGGAAAAAAGATATCGATGCCATTAGCGATGTTTTTCTCGCAAGCAAGCATCAGGGCTCCGCCTTTAGGAACCACAGTGGAACCAGGCTTGCCTCATGAGTGCGCTGGTGAGAGGGCCCACGATGGCTCCAGCAGGACGCACGCATGGCGGCGTTGGCACTTGCTCGGTGGAAGAAAGGGTAGTCCAAGAGTGTGAGTGAGAGACTAAGAAGTGTTAGGGTTTCGGAGCGACTGCTTACACTCGATATCAACGAATTTGAACCACAAATCTCAATTCCAACAGCCAGCAATGGGTGCCCAGTAGGGCAGGTGACTCGGGCCGACAGTGGGCAGCGGCATAGCAAGCCCAGAGCACTATGCGCTTGGTTGAGTTAAGCTGCGCGTGGTTTTGGGCCGTGTTAGGCTGATTTTTGTTTTAGGGTAGATTTGAAGTTTTCCCTTATTTCAAATTAAAGTTTTCTTTTATTATTTTCTTCCGTGGATTATTTTGGTTTGAAGTATATGTAAATTAGTTTGTTTCCCATGTAGAGGTGTTCTATTTCACATAAAAAAAAGTTTGATTCCCAGATTTATTTGATAAAATATTAGTGTTATTAAAGTATGTTTTTGGGAAAAGTTTGCCTACAAAATATTTAGATTTTTGTGCTCTAAGTTTTATAAACCTTAACATTTCAGTACAATTTACTTTATTAATAACTATGCACCGTTTTAAATAAGCTTTAAGTTTTGGATTTTATTTTCAGTTCCAGAATAAGTTCATTTTCTCCTCTGCACTTAACTATTTTGTTTAATTAAGTTTTGAAATAAGTAATGAACTATTAGCCCTTATTAGCCAGTTGTACTAGGATAATTAGTTAACAGCTAGTCAAAAGCTTGACTAAGGGCTTGTTTGGATGGACTAAGATTAACAACTAGTTTTATTATTAGCTTATATTTGTGGATTAATGGACTAATAATTAGTCTGTCTATTTTTAATCCTTAGGGGGCTAAATTTTAGTCAATTACTCCTTCATTTCAAATTATAAGATGTTTTGACTTTTCTAGATACATTTTTTAAATATAGTGTATGTCTAGGTGCATAGGAAAAAAAACTATGTATCTAGAAAAGGCAAAACATCTTATAATTTGGAATTGATAAATAGTTGTTAGTTATATGAATCTAAACAAGACCTAAAATTAGCCCACACATTAATCCTTTCTGTTTGGATAGACTAGATCTCACTTTCAGCTGTTAGTTGTTAGCGGTCTAAATAGGCGCTAAGCGTAGCCCGCGTAAGTGAGGGTGGAAAGTGAAAGGAAAATCAATGAAGGCACCGATACACGGAGCTTGTAGATATGGAAGCGATGGTTTCTCTTGCCACTGTGGAGATTTAAGAGGGCCACCAAGTTACTTCCCGCAGAAAATCCCATGCAAACTTGCAGTGACGTAAGTGAGCATGTAATAAGGAACTAGAAAGTGCAGCCTGTATGTATGACGGTTCTCCCCGACATCGAAGACAGGCTGCTAGTTCGTTTGACACTGACACTAATGCTCACTCTACATAAATGAAATCTGATTGGCAAAATGTCCGACGGGAGGAAAGTTTATATTAGCGACGGGTGCTCGTAAGTGCCTACGTCTATACACCTAACTAAAAAAAATAAAAGCAGTAACCTAACCCCTTCATGGCGATTTGCGAGAGAGCCGATCGCCAAGTGACGAGGAAAGTCAGAGAGATGACATCCTGTTCGGACCAATCAGTCAAAACAGTTCAGTAACAAATTAAAAATGGAGAACTTTCACCTGAAAGAAGAACTTGGTCTCCTGGCGGCTAGCCGGCAATGACACACGCGAGGACGTAAGCACTGTTGTTACCGTGTTAATGATCAACGCATTCATCTCTATATATACATGGCTATTACAAACAGCTAGTACATACAGCGAATCTGATCCTGAGGCAAGTAAGTTACAGCATACAGCACACAAATGGCATCAGGCAGCGAAGAGAAAGCGGCGGCGGTGCGTGTGATCGGCGGGTGGGCGTGCCCCTACGCCATCCGCGTGTTCGCGGCGCTCAAGCTCAAGGGTGTCGAGTACGAGTTCCTGCAGGAGCCGGCCGGCAGGAAGAGCGAGCTGCTGCTCAAGTCCAACCCGGTCTACAAGAAGATCCCGGTCGTGCTCCACCATGACAGGCCCATCTGTGAGTCCATGATCATTATCCAGTACATCGATGAGGTGTGGGCCTCTAACGGGCCGTCCATCCTTCCGACTGAGCCCTACGCGCGTGCCAACGAACGGTTCTGGGCCCAGTACGTGGATGACAAGGTATTTGGCTTCTCTCCTCTTCTATTCTTTTGATTTGATTTTCTAATGACTTACGATCATGCAATATCTAAAAACAATACTACCATTATAAAAACCTGAAATCTAAACAAGAGATCCTTACACAAAATTCCTTGGCAGATTGCCCCGGCATTCCTTGTCCTGAGAGGGCTCACCAACGGAGACAAGGACGAAGCAGCAGAGCAAGTGTCCACTGCCCTAGAGCATCTGGAGGAGGCTTTCGTCAAGTGCAGTCAAGGGAAGCACTACTTCGGCGGCGACCGCATCGGCTTCCTGGACCTCGTTCTGGGCTCACACCTTGGCTGGTTCAAGGCGGTGGAGAAGATATCTGGTATCAAGCTCCTCGAAGAAGCCAAGTACCCTGAATTCACAGCATGGGCAGACCGCTTCTGCACCCACCACGCTGTGAAAGACGTCATGCCTGAAACCGACAAGCTCGTAGAGTTCAGCACCAGTTCTGCCGTGAAGGCTAAACCTACCGATTAACGGGGTCATGTTTGACATAGTCAGATTCACGTCAATCTATATGTGTTGGGATGAATTGAAATAGAACTTAAAACTAAATTCCACTCCAACACATGTGGATTGAAGTGAATCCGACAACATCCAAACAATGACTAAGTGTATTTATTTATGGTTTACTACAGTAGTGTATTGCGGAATAATAATCACGATGTCTTTCTTCTTTTTCCTTTCTGGTGTAAGCGAATAAAGGGCACCGATGTGTTTTCACTTTTTCAGAAACTCTTATGCCTTAAGGAATGTAAAATCCATGCGCTGCTGTGAAAGGGCCATTCATCTTGTGGTAGGGCTGTTGAGTGATACCCTATCCAACAGGGTTCAAGTCCTGGTGTTGCATATTTTCTCTAGAATTTTCTTCAAAAATGTTGGATACATAATCCAAGTGGAAGAGCATGTTATAAGTTATAGATGGCCATCGGGCCGTGCCAGCCCGGCCCGACGCGGCGTCGTGCCTCACCGGGCCGGCCGTGCCGTGCCTATGGCATGCTCGTGCCTGGCCTCCGGCCCAAGGCACAGCCCGTGGGCCGTTTGGCCGTGCCGTGCCGCCCGTTGGGCACGACCATTTTCACCGGACCGTGTCGGCCCATAGCCCGGCTGCAAAAATAACTAAGTCTTTAAGGACTTGATCATTTTCAACATGATTTTACCACCAGATTCACAACTCAGAGATTCAAAACCACCAGATTCACATCAGATTCAAAACTCATATTCTCATAATTCTAAACCACAGGATTCACATTTCACAATCACAATTCAAACTCACAAGACACAAGTCTCAAACTCACAACTCAGAACACAAGGACAAGGGACAAAAGACAAGATTATATCATTATATGAATATGAGTTATTTTGTGCAATGCTGCCTCATTAAAAACCTTTCTAAGTAAAACTCACCCTTGTAAGAAACCCTAGAAAGAAAAAAAGAGTACAGCCAGCTCTAAAGTGTCAAAGTCTTAGTTCTTCTATCCTATTACAATAGCCAACATCAGTGGCAAAGTCATTGTGACAATGTGACTTAGTGAGTTCACAGCAGCAAAAGTTCTATCCTATACAATAGCCAACTGCCAACATCAGTGGCAACATTCATAGTGACTCACTGTCTCACTCTGTCACACCAAAAGTACCTGCAAAATTATACAGAAGCAAGCAATGTTAGTGAACTTGAATGTAAAGAAGCAATATAGAAGTTTCAGTTGAGTGAGTGACTACCTCTCCTCTTCTCTTCTTCTTCTTCTATCCACCACCAGCAGTACCGCCGCTGCTACTACCGGTGCCGCTGCCTTCGCCTTGTTCATCGAGGAAGAGGTTCTTGAATGCCTCCTCCAGGTCTAGGTCCTCAGGTGTATGTTGTTCCCTTCTTGCACCTTGCTCCCAGTCCTTGATGCAGGTGAGCATCTCCACATGCTCAGGCAACAAGCGCTGCCACCGGTCTTCGAGTATCATGGATGTATAGCTGAAACAAGACTCGGAAGAGACAGTAGATACAGGGACAGACATGATATCTTGAGCCATAATAGATAGGATTGGATAGGTTAGCTTGTGGTCACGCCACCAGAGGAGTATGTCAAAGGATTCCTCATAACATGTGACAGGGTCACTGTCCAAGTAAGCTTTGAGCTCACTGACAGCAGATGGAGTAGATGAAGATGAGGGGGAACCGACAGGGGATTCACCAGGACCTCCAAAGATCCTTCCCCATGCCTGTTTTGTCTTACCAGTATGAGCTGAAGGCACTGAAACCCTCTGAGACCTAACTGCACCAAATTTCTGCTCATAATTGGCAAACAATCTATACAATTCATCTTTCACATCACCATAGTATACACTATAAATGCATCTAGTTGTCTTACCAAGCAATTCAAGCACATTAAAGAACCCCTTCATCTTAGCTCAAGGATCAAGAATGAATGCATATGAATAAATTAGTAGAATTTTCTCCCAATATTTAAGAAATTTAAGCTTCATAGGAGTAGCAATCATTCTAAAATTAGCATCTCTTTCAGCATTTTGCAAATGTTCAGCCATGTCAAGCATATGGTGCAAAACAAGTGGAGCTGTGGGATAATAAACACCAGACAGGACAACAGTGGAATTATAGAAGAGTTCTAGGAGCAACATACCAATGCTGTGCAGACAACAAAGTAGAACCATAATTAGAGGTAATGAACACATGAAAGACTTCATTGTATGGCAGCAAGTGTTTGAGCATCAAATAAGTAGAATTCCATCTAACATCCATATCCAAGCCAAACTTTCTAGGTCTAAGACCCTGAGCAGTGTAGTAGTTCTTAAACAATGCAATTCTTTGATTAGAGGAATTTAAAAAACTTATTGCAGTTCTGAAATCTTCAGTATAAGGTTTCAACCTCTTCATGCCAGATTTAACAATCAGATTAATGATATGGCATGCACAGCGCTGATGCACAAGCAAGTACTTCACCTTGTTAGGATCATCTCTTGTAGGTGCAGGATAAGAACCCAAATAACCAAAGAACATAGGTTGCAAAATCTCATAAGCCCTAGAATTAGCAGAAGCATTGTCTAGAGACACAGAAAAAACCTTATCAATCAAACCAAACTCCTCAACCACACTAGAAATCCTATCAGCAATGTTTTCACCAGAATGTGAAACATCAATCAGCCTAAGACCAACAACTTTTTTCTGTAACTCCCAATCTGCACTAACATAATGAGCAACAACAAAAATATAATCCTCCTTAGCATTACCAGACCAAATATCAGATGTCAAAGAAACAGAAGATGCAGCAGGCAACACAGATTTCATAAGCATAGCACGTTATTCATCAAAAAGTTTACACATATCTCTAGTGGTGGTCTGCCTAGAAACCTTCTCGAACAGAGGATTATGAGCACGCTTAATGTAATCCTCCCAAGCCTGTGTCTCACCTATCCCTAAAGGAAGGTCTAGCCTAGCAATCAAACGGCACAACTCAGTGCGAGCAAGCATAGGATCATACACCCAATTTTTTAAACCATCAGGATTCAGAGCAAGCTTAGACTGGACCATACTAGCATGATTACGTTTTCTCATACAGGAATACATGTGCCGTCTCAAATGGCCAATGCCAGCAGATGATCTAGCAGTGTATCGCACCCGACAATGTTTACAGATGCCAGCAACTCGAATTTTATTCTCCTTAATCTCATGGAAGTAATCCCAAATAGCAGAAACTTTCTTACTAGAGGTGGTTGAGGTACCATGAGTGTCAGTGGAGACCTCAACTCCACCATCACCATCGTCGCCATCGAGATCGATGGGCTGGTTACCGTCACCGAGGTCGATGCCGAACAGACCGGCTGCATCATCACGTAGGTCATCGTCGTCCTCGACTTCTAGCTCGTCGTCCGGGTGCGGCGCCTGGTCCTCGCCGTCGCTGAGGGGATGCTGATCCTCCCCCCACGTTGCGAGGCCAGAACCGCAACCGCCCGCGGATGAGCCAGACAGCCGTCCATGACCTCGACCTCCAGCAGCTCTAGCACCGTCCCTCAACAGGCGCTTTGGTGACCTGGCCATGTCTACTCCAGAGGAGGAAGACGCGGCGTCAGGCACCAACCTGCATGCAAAGAAGAAGAAGAAGAAGAAGAAGAGTGAGAGATGACACTTGAGATACAGAGATTAGAGAGAGACAGAGCAGAGAAGAGCAGATCTAGGGTTAGGAAAAGTGACGAACCTGCTTTCCCGGAGCCCGGTGCCGGAGATGAAGAAGCCAGCGAGCCAGCCAGAGGATGGGACAGACACCAATTAGAATCGACGGCGAGGTGGGGGAGGAGGGGAGTGACATGAACACGAACTCACATGGTTCACCGATTCCAAGCGAGAGCGAGAGGAAACAAGAGAGGAAAAGGAGGGAGGAGACGAGGTTAGCGAACTCAGTGCGAGGTGGAGCGTCGACGAGGTCAACGGTGCCAGAGAGGACAACGACGATGGTCGATGGAGAGCGGCGACGGCGGTGGATCGCGAATGCGAGAGCGAGAGCGAGGCAGCGAGCGAGAGTAGACGGCGTGGCGGGGGAGGAATGGGGATTAGGGGCTTAGGGTTAGGGATGGAGAGGAAGGCAGTGGGCAGCGGCTTATATATGCGGCGGGGTGGGCTAGCTTCGTGGGCTGCCTCCCTTGCTGGGCCAAATGAAGCCGTTGGGGCACCGGGCCGCCTCTTTGCACCGGGCCATGCTCGTGCCGTGCCATGGGCCGGGGTGACGGCACAGGCATGGCCTGGTGCCTCGGGCCGTGCCGTGCCCGTGCTAGGCCAAAACGTCGGGCCACGGGCTGGGCCAGCGGGCCGCGGGCTACATGGCCAACTTTATTATAAGTTACAGAGTAGATATATAGCATCAATTTCTCCCCCACCAAATGGCCTCTAAAAGGAAAGTAATTGATCCTGAAACATTGAAATTCACTAGTCAGTTAGCACCAACGTTAAAGTTCCTTTTTGTCGAGCATATGCATAGAAATTTGCTTGCCAGGTGCAAATAGAAATGATATTTATTTAACTAGTAAACACGTCTATATATTGCAACAAAACATACAAGCTTCAATACTATACAGAATTGATTTTTGAAGACAGCCTAGCTTATTTTTAGAGGAGGCAGCCATAAGCATCACCGTCTCTATAAATGCCCTTTGACATTTTCAAATGAGGTGCCTGTGGCAGAACCTCCTAAGAAATCAGGCCCACGTGCACCTATCGATGTCTCAACAGACCTCTGATAGCGTACACAAGTTTCCAACAACTTAACAGGTCTGTCGGGTGTCCTCGGAAAACCCAAATCATCCACGAATCTTTTTCAAACAGGATCCCAATCACAGACATTGCAGATTACAACAGTTTTCGATATACATACTAGAGATTGTAAAGCGGAAGACTTAAGTTTTAATATTACAAACCAGTTGTTTCAAACTTACAAAACCATAAGTGTCATACAACCATAGTAGCGGGATAATAT